CTACTTGTGATCCTGTGCCCACCATTTTGTGCAGCATCAGGTGGTTCACGATGTAATTTTAACTTTTGTTTTAAATATTTTCAAACCGTTTTAATATGTTCCTGACATACAGCTGTGTGTAGTTTATATTAATTTTGACGTCTGTACCATGTATCCAGCATTCAACCAGGTTACTGGGTGTTTTCCTCAACCTAAACGTTAATAACATCTAGCAACAGTCTCACATACGACTGTAAGTTAATTTAAAATCATTTTGCACAATAGTTGCTATTTCTTACCAATGTTATTGCAGCTCCTGATGACGACGGCAAAGCCCATTGAAAGCTAGAGATTAATAAAGTATAAAGAGTCCTCTGATTGAATTTTGTCGAAGTACCCAACAAAAGGCGGAAGCTTTATTTTTCACCTAACTGGTCTAAACAACAATTACTACGTCTCATTTTATATATGTATAAAAAGCAAGACAGAATACATTGCAATTATTGTATATTGACTGATCTACTACCTATAATTTGTCTAACTGACACACACTACATGATGGTGTCAAATGGAGATAGAAGATGCCAGGGACATACAGACAACATCGCCTTCCCAATTTTCAAATACTCCAATTTATCAAGTAGCATGAGACTTTCATTCTGTCAAAACAATGGGACCAATGAATACAACTGGCAAAATAATTCATAAAATAGACTGCATCTACTCGTAAACAAAAATAATAAGTGTTATTCCATAATCTCTAGTAGCAGTGACAGTTCATAAATGTAAGTTCATTATTTTCCTAGGATATTTACCTAGGGGAAAATGTGTAACTTTTTCTTGACATGAATGAGGCGATAATGGCGATTTCTGACTTTAGTAATGACGAAACTATTACGTATAAACTATCGATCTTCAGAAAAATTGTAAAAAACAAAATATTTCAAAATCGCTAGATGATTGGATACTATATGTAGAATCTGTGACACAAGATCCTTAAATAATCCCAACGACTTTCCCTCGTAACCCTGTATACCAATACAAAATAATATTATTGACCACTGAAAATACAGTATTGAACAAAAGTATATAGACAAATATGAATATTTACCTAAATACCTTTAGAAAACGAATTCATACTTACTACTTATTAGTAGAAAAACTAAATTCCTTGTTTTTACATTATCTGCAATGAACGCAATACAAGTCTGAATATAAGCACTACTTTTTTATGAGGGACAAAAATATGCAGACATATTCTTTTCAACATTAGTTTAGTACAGTTTCGTGTCAGAAGAGGATTCTTTTGTGTTCATCAAGTATTGTGAAATAAGTTGAGAGACCATGCCCGTGGTCCAGAAATTTCTTTCGATGTGACAACTGTGATCATTAAGTTACACAAAGATGGTCAACGTCAAGTCGACATTGCCAAAAATTTGAAGCTGAAGCGTAAAGCAGTTTGGGCAATATTGAACAAATATAAACAAAAAGGTATCTTGGAAGCCTTTAAGAGAAGTAAGTGGTCGGCCTAGAAAACTAAATGCTAGATCAGTTAGATTAATAAAAGTAATTTCGTCCAAAGATCCGTTTAAAACGTCATGGTTTCTACGAAAACTGGAAAGGGGATGCTTCAGTGACGAATCCAAATTCAATATGTTTGGATCAGATGGTGTTCATTACGTTAGACGTCCTAGTGGACAAAGATTGAACCCCAAGTACACTTTGCCCACTGTTAAACATGGAGGCGGGTCTGTTATGGTTTGGGGGTGCTTTTCGGGGTTTGGGATGGGACCTTTACATAGAAGAGATGGCATTATGGATAAGTTTGTATACACATACATACTAAAGGATGTCATGTTACCCTATATGGAAGACAATATGCCCTTAAGATCAATCTCCCAGCAAGATATTGACCCGAAGCACACTTCAAATCTCGCAAAGAAATTCTTTCTGGATGAAAAAATACCAGTTCTCAAATGGCCTTCACAGTGTCCCGATATAAACCCCATTGAAAATCTATCAGAATAGTTAGATAAGCAAATACGAGATAAAAATTATTCAAACAAGGATGAACTTTTTGACGCTTTAGAGCAAAAGTGGAGACAGATTGATGAATCTTATATCAAGAAACTTCTAAAATCTATGCCGAGACGATGCCAGGCGGTAATTGATAATCTGCTACAAAATATTCACACAAACATGGTTGGTGTTCTATAATTCAATGAACTTTGCTTCTTTTTTCTATAATTGCTTTGCTTTGTCTATATATTTTTGTCCTTCATAGTTCCAGTTTTTTTTTATTAATTTTTTATTGAAAGGATTCTAATGAATTTATTTAGTGAGTATTATGTTATAACGAATTATGTATACAGGTTTGTGTATTAATAAAACAAGTTAAAAAAGAAATACAGCACAATATTAATTTGTCTATGTACTTTTGACCATTACTGTATATTCACCCATGCAAATCATATGAAAGCCATTGGAGTCGTCTCATTCTACTACCGTTGTAATTGGTTTACGTTCCTTCAGAATTCCTAGAAAGAAGCTCAGTTCAAATCAGGGGCGGCTTAGAAGATCGAAGAAAGACAGAAGAAGAGAATCAGGTAAACAGGAGGAATACGTTTGTGGAATCAAGAAAGCTACGATGATGCCAACCAGTACGGATTCTAATCGTCTTTACCGATTCCGCATCGCGTCTTTGTCTTGAGGGCGCTTAAATTTCGGCGGGGTATTATCCCTTAAAAGCTGTTTGTGGTGCTTAACAAAGGCACAAATGCTTATAATACTTAGTTTAGAATGATGATCGCTTGATAAGATAATGGTAGTGTTTTGTGAATGCCGATTGTTAGGAAAGGGTTATTCCTACTAGGTTTTGTTAAAGATTCTATAAGAAATGGCGTTATCATCCCATACAGGATTAAGTTCCGCACAATTTAGGTCCGTTGATAAAAAAGTCCGTTGCGAACATGTACCATAGAGAAATGAGGTGGAGCAAGTCAGTCAATCAGGCCCATACAGTTAGTCCATAGACATTCTTTCCCTGCCTTACCGGTAGTAAGTGCATATCTGGCAACGTTGCCCATTTCAACATCTGCAGTACGCTTTGTCCGCTGCAGTACGGATAGATTAGTCCGCTGGACAGCTACGCCGGACGGTGAGCCTAGATAGCAGGGATAAGCAGATCAAACACGTTTCTCGATCATTCTAAGTTTGACAGGTAGTGGGAAATCTGTGATGTGTGAAATTTGGCTAATCGCCAACCTCCGAATTTCATCCTCTACTAAAAATGTTTCTGATCAGGAGCCTCTGAAACGTCAAAAAAAGAGACTAGTATGATTTTTATTTTCTTTTTTCATGTTTTGCTCCTAGCTGCGACGTCACTGAATATTCCATCCAAGTCTGAGCGATTGAAGGATTACCGGACAGACAGACAGACAGGCAGACCGGCGGAAATAAGTGACATGTCATAAAACATCCGAAAACCATAATATCTCATTTTTCAAGATTACATTACTTCCTCGCCCAGTGGCGTAGCAAGTAAAATGCGTCCATTGAAGAAGACGTTTTTGCAAATAAAAATCAAAAAATAGTGACATTTTGTTTTTGCTTGCTACGCTAACGTAAGTATACTTACTCCAGTTTGTGGAAACCTCTTTGATCGTGTGAAAAAGATTTTGAGACTAGTCAAGTCTCGTCTTTCAAGTTGAATTTATCACTAATGCTTAGAAATTTTGTATTCATTGAAAGTTTTTTGTGCCCGAACCGATCGACTTCCAAAGGTGATCCAAATGTCAAGGTCAACATCAAACGGCCCGTTCATACAGTGGTCGGTGACTTGTTGGCGACTATGTCTGGGATCGGGCCGTGTGAATTCTGCCTAAATAGCGTAGCAAAAAGAACGGAATTTATGTGGAGAGATCTTGGACACGATCACCGATGATTGCTGTACGAACAGGGTTAAATTGAGCCATTGTGGCCCCACTCCGATTTGGTGAAAACTTAGCTAAGATAAAGTCTCGCAACAGTGCATCTATAGTGACTTTTTAGAGAAATTGCGTCCGCAACTACAAATCAGCTTGTTCTCTGTTTTATTTAACATCAAAGTTATAAGAGTGAAAGGGCAAACCCACTCAGAAAATCACATCTATTTAGACCGATTTAATTTATTCCCCGTACCATTCTTCTATTTGCTGCCGTAAACACAATATCTAACACCTGGTATTTTCTCCAATTTAAAAACATTAGGAAATGGTCGCGTTCCTAAAAGACATTACAACAATTTGGTGAAATGTATCACGCTTGATGGCCAAACTTGTTCGGTGTTTATGATAGGTACCTAATATAATCGTTACTCAAGCTTTTTCGAACTTAATGAAGAAATTGGAAGAAATTTACAAATTTGCAGCTTCTAATTTACCAAGAAATTTACTGGCAGTGGTCAATAGGTCAAATAATAAAAATGGCGTCAAGTAGGATGGGTTCGTATGTAACGTTGCCATCAGTTCATAAAGGACTAAGTTCGGCATAAGTTAAATCCTCTGAGAAAAAAATTAATTACGAAAATATACAATGCAGGAATTAAATGGATCAAGTCAATCAAACAGATCCAAACAATTAGTTCATAGACATCCTTTCCCTATCCTACCGGTAGTTATCGTCCATCTGGCATATAGTCACAGGCGGTAGCGCCCATCCAAGCACCATCACAGTACGAGCAGAAAAATCAAGCAATCGGTTACGCTGGGCGCTGAGCCCAGATAGCAGAAGGACACGCGTTTCAGAAGCATTTTTCTAACATCCTTACGAATGTAACGGGAATATGTGAAATATGGCTAAGAGGTGCCTGGAATTATCGCGGAGTCAAACACATTGCTGGTTTAGAGGCTCTATAAAGGAGGCATGAAACTATTTATTTTTTTCATGCGTGTTTGGGAAATGTGTGGGAAGTACTCGATCAATAATATTGAGCTCACAATGCTGATAAAACAATAAAATAATAAAAATGTTCAACTTCTCAGGTTAGGATTGATGTCACATTTTGGCGCGTTAGCTGCAGCGAGCAGTCGATACGCGGCCTTGTGTGGGACGCCTGCGGATCCTAGGACGTTGCCCTGGTACTGGGGACGGATACCTGCTCAAATTACCAAAGACGAACACAGCCCTAATGGTGAGTAATCATAATATTTACCTACTTCAGAAAAGATATGTTATTAGTAGAAGTACTTGTTTATGGCTAATGAACTTGACTGTCCACACATTTAAGAGGAGCGAGGTTACCTCTGAACAATAGAAGCCATCAGTCATAAGCGGCGTTCGTTTTAAAAGTGAAGTGACAGTCCAAACATAAGATGAAAAATGAAGATGAGGTTGACAAATCAGTAAATGTCTGGCTCAGTTCAGAGTTCAAAAAGGACAGCTGAGCTAACATTGATCAGAACCTAAAAATGACTTTCTTTAATTATACAGGGCTGCGTTAGTGAATTGTTACAAAGAGTCTGTATTACTCTGTAACAAAGATTCTATTTCAGACTTCCATTCAATTTCAGCGTTCGTAGTTGTTTGACGTACCTGTTCCACATGTTTGGAAACAACAAAGCAATCCTTTTGGAATGTCAAAAGTGCGCTTTTCATTCCGTGCTCAGAACCTTGTGTATAAGAGTGTCGTCACTTGTGATTCTCATGGCTCATTGTTTCTTTACTTTATTTGTTCATCAAGGTTTTCAAAATTTTCAGAATATATACTTTTCACAATAAAACCTACCTATATAACAATATTTAGTAGTTTGCTGTAGCTAAATTGCGCCTTACCATCAATATAAGGCTTCAAAAAGCTTTCATAGAATTGCATAATCTGTGTCTGAGGAGATTAAAGAAACAGTGTCCCTGCATAAGTATGTTTTTATTGTTTCGTGCTTTTCTAGCCTTGTACCGATTAAGTTTCGAGGTTAAACACACAGGATCGGACTTGAAAAAACGCATAAAATTCGCATCGATAATAATAGCCATTAACTAAATAATAAAAAACGTCTTTGTGGCAGTCAATATTGTTTTTTGGCATTTCACCCAAGAAATGTGTACCGACAAAGCGGAAGCAGAAGGTGCGCTGATGGTTTAATACGTGAGTCATCAAAGGTACAAAAAGCTTTCACAAACATTTTTGTTACTAGTTTTGTTGAAGAACCGTTTTGGAACGATCACGCGACAAAAAAGCTTTCACAAACAGTTTTGTTACTAGTTTTGTTGAAGAACCGTTTTGGAACGATCACGCGCATACCTGTATAGAGGAAAGTCGTCATTAAAATAACAGGAGGATTCTTTACTACATTCCAACTAGTTTTGGCATGATACCAGAACTGACGGCTGCATAGAAACTTATAGTTTCACTGTGATTGGGTCATGTTGATTACGACTTAGCTAGATTTATCATTACCCTTAAAACTGCTGTCATAGCGCAGCATTCAGCACTGATCCTCTAAAACAATGTTACATATAGCTGTTCGATTTAAGACATTATATGCCAACAGCTCTTCTGGCCCTTAAAAGCGATGTATCATCAAAGTATGTCTACGTAGCTCAGGCCTCCTATTGTTGCGGTTGATGAATCTGCTGGCTACTAAGTAAACATTCAAGTCAATCAAGATGAGTCGACTATACTTCGAGCTTCAAACGGTTTTAACGATATGCATTATTCATATTCAATCTTGTCGATTGAGCAGATGAGGGTATCCGTAACAGTATAAAAATGGGCGCCGGTGGGATTCGAACTCGCGTCTTCTTCATTCCATGGAGCCGACCAAACCAATTTTCCTTTCTCTTAAGTTGTTGTTTACTAAATATTCTTAGTGTTATGAATGCGTTCATCCGAAAAATCGTAATCAGGTCAATGTCTTTGCACGGTGGTACCCTGGTAAGTGACCACGAGACAGCGATTGGAGATGCGGTATCAAGCAGCTTGAAAGAACAATGGGTAAGAATGAATTTGTCTATAACAATCGATCCGGAACATTGGTTGACAGCTTGTGCTCTAGGAAAAATGGGTTCCTTTCTCTCGCTGTTGTTTACTGTAGTTTCTTATGTGAAAGTTCGTCCCTGTGCAGATGTCAGCAACACTTCTTACCGCTATACACTTGGCGTGTGTCTTTCATGCTCCTTTGGCGCCCGTAAGGCTTCCCGTCGATTTATCGTTGGAACTTAGCGCGAGTAAGGCTTCGGAAGCCTCTGCGGCACACCTTCAGGCTGATGTTTAAATGAGGTGAGACGCTTTCCGCCACCCCCACTCCTAAATCTGTGGCACGTCACACTTTGCCGAGGTATTATTTAGCTGAGACACCCCAGAAAACCCTGCCTAGGGAGAAATATCGTAAGGGACTTTTCAAAGGAGGAAGGTTAGTAAGGCCGATTTTTGGCTTAAATTTAGTTTGGTTGGTGCTCAAAATCAGTTCCTGTAGTATCTGCCAAAAACAAACCATGTCGATTCCACCTTAAACATCTCTTTGATGACAGGACAGGGGTAAAACAGGTAAATGGTGGATTTACCTCATACAGGGTGTAAACGTTGTGATAGTCATTATTTCAATGGGTGATAAAGGAGGTTAAAAGATTTAAAAAGTTTCATATAACATGGGGGTCAAAACGGTATATTGTTAGAGAAAAGCGACTTTAAAGAAAAAATAAAATCTGACAACGCCGCAATGCCTGACGCAAATTACGACGGAACGCAGTGTAAATGAAGATGGATTTTGTTATATTTGGCTCTTAGGTATTATTTCATTATTTGATAATGTACAAGTAAAATGCAAACAATTAAAAAAAAACGGACTTACCACTAACTGTCTTAGCGCTTCCCTGGTGTGTGAAAGTTTATTGAACGTATCAAAAAAATCCACTTATAAATAATGAACACAATTTTGATATATACATTGTTTCTCTTTTTAAAACCCACACTGCCGTCGACCTCCACTTTCCACACAAGCTTCATTACGACGAACCCAGTTTCTTCTTACTCTAGGTCCTGGAAGTTGTCCATTTATTATTTCAGCCGCATTAAATTTTTTTTCGCGAAGTTGTGCTTCAGTTTTTATTGGACCAGCCCCATAAACCAGCCCTTTAAGTTCTCCCCAATACCAGAAATCCATCGGATTGAGGCCAGGAGACCTTGCTGGTCATTTTCCAGGATCAGGAGCATTTCGACCGATCCAGCGATTTGGATAATGTTCATTCAAATACCGAATGACGCCTTAAAAATGTGTGGTGGTGCTTCGTCATGAAGAAACCACAAATTCTGTCTCCGTTGTAATGGCATCTTGTCTAAGGTCTGTTACAAAAGTTCTGGTAGGTTATTGGCTAGAAAGCTAAGGGATCCTTCTCGTAACAACTTTGGGGGTAACTCGAAAGGGCCAATTACCTGATCGTCAAGAATACCCGCCCAAATATTTATTTTAGAACGTTGTTGGAAATGACCTTCATGGTAAGGGGATTTTCTTGGGCCCACGTGTGAGTATTATGGAAATTTAATATCCCGTCTCGCGGACAGGAGCGAGGTACTGGATCCACGGCCTGTCAACCAGGAGGAGCTGTATTGGCCCAAGGAGGTATCTCAGATCTCTCCAAATGAAGCTGCTAGTGCCCAGTGTAGCGATTCTAATCCGGGCCCTACAACTCGCAGGCCTACAGATCCAGCTGATCGAGAATAAAGCACCATATTTTAAGCAAGAGCTAGGTAACGCCTATCTACTAAAAGCATACCATAAGACATGTTTCATATAAATCTCACACTCATTAATGAAAATATCATGCAAATAACGTCAAATGTTTATTTTGCAAAACAAAGAATCGATGATACATTGATGACACGACTTGAACATGAATATAATTTGCTTTTAGACAAATATGAAACGTTAAAATCCAAACGAGTTAAGCGTGGATTATTTAATGGTCTTGGTTCTGTCTTAAAATATATTTCAGGTAATTTAGATCAATCTGATCTAGACGAAATAATGGAAAATATGCAAATTCTGAAGGAAAATCAAGATAAATTATCATTACAAAATTCCCGAACCGTCTCTGTAGCAAAACAATTACAAGACAGGTTTGAAAATAACACTTTAATTATAAAGAAAAATTTAAGAGATAATTTGGAATACGCTAATTCTCAGTATGTCTTGAATGAGATAATAATTATTCAAAAATTCTCTAATTATTTATCCCAGTTACTCTTAACCATTAACCTGAGTACGAATCAGGGCATAAATCTCTTACAGCTGAGCAGGACTGAAATTAATTATTTCCATTCGTTATTAATTGATCTACTTGACAAAAATGAGCTTCTCCCATTATTTGATGAACTGCATAACTTGGTTATGTGAATTAAGTGTTATAGTCCTCGAAGAAGAAATCATATTTGTTCTTCACATACCAACAGTTACTGGAAACTTTATACAGGGTGGTGCACGGAAAAAAACAGACGCATTTACTGGCAGCTCAATTTTTTATTAGGTAAATTCTTTTAATCAAATTTCTTCTGAAAGTAGTACAAACTAATCTGATGTACCTATTAAAGTCTACTTTAAGCTTTAAATCAATAAACCTTCAAAACTACTGAACTAAAGCTCATGTATTTTACATCATTATAAAGGAAATTGAAAGACCTTTAAAATAAGGTATCACTCGACCCCCCTTTCCATTCAAGATTTTAGGGTTGGTGTCACCCCCGCCCAGGGGGCTGCACATGCTAACGTGATTTTTTGCCAAACTGGTGTCCCCCTCGAAAACAAAATCGACGGGTCTGAGCGTTTTCCAAAAAAAAACTGAGCTGCCAGTAAATGCGTCTGTTTCGTTTTCGATGCGCCACCCTGTATATTTCAATATATACCCCTATTATACACCAAAATAATACTCTGGTATTGAAACATAAAAATATTATTGGAAATGAAACTATACTTTTGTGATGAATGCAAATTATTGAGTAATAAGTATTTTTACTGTACTATACTAATCCATTCCAGTTGTAACGTACTTAAAGTTGAAAATTGTATATTCTTGGAAAAAGGCCCATTTTCAGACGCAATTCTATTAAAACATGATAATTATTTGGTGAATACTAACAAGAATATTCCAGTATATGAAGATTGTACCAAAGAAAGAAAAGAAATTGATTGCTCTTCTATT